ATACCCAGCCAGGACAAGACAAAAAACATTTTTTATAGGTGTTTCCTTGATCCAAACTGATAATGTGTGCCATGCAGCAAGATCCCAAATGGTCTAGGAGACATTTCAATAGGAACCTTGATAAAGGACTTGGACTTGAACAACTGCAGATGTTTCCAACATCCAAACGCTGAGCTTCAAAACACCCACTAGCCTAGGACTGTGGGTCTCAGAACTTCCAGACTCCTCTGTTCTCAAACCCGGAGACACTCTGTACTCCCCAAACAGCAACCTCACATTCAATCAGAAGTTCTCCACAGACACTATTGTCCAATGATATTCCTCCCTGCTTAGATTAATTTGGATTTAGATTAAATAACTAACCTAGTTGACAAGAATGGCTCATTGGTTCACACTTTCCAGTTTTCCTTGCCCAAGCCCAGCAGGGTTGATGTGGAGACTGGAAGCCCTGAGTATCAGACTTCAGTTGTCAATATTTTCAGACTAAGATTAAACCAAAAAACCCCACACTTGCCCTGACCAGTTTGGCTCAGTGGATAGAGTGTCAGCCTGTGGACTCAAGAATCCCAGGTTTAATTCCGGACAAGGGCATGTACCTTGGTTGCGGGCACATCCCCGGTAGGGGGTGTGCAGGAGGCAGCTGGTCGATGTTTCTCTCATCGACGTTTCTAGCTCTCTGTCCCTCTCTCTTCCTCTCTGTAAAAAAAATATTTTTTAAAAAAACACCCCACACTGATGCTCAGATTCTTCAGTGACTGAATTAAAACAAAACTTCCAAACACCAACATTCATATGCATTCCTGCTCCACTGACCTCACAGGCCCCTCACTAGGGATTCACATAGAATCTCACCACACCTTAAGCCTTGGAGACCCCACCCTCAGGTGCCAAAGGCTGAACCGAGGCACCACACTATCCCCAGCTCGGTGCTCTCTCCCCAAGTACTTCCTCGGCTGTTGCTAGGGACACCAAAGGCCCAGGACACGTGAGTGCCCAGGCTCTGGGTCATATCTGGAAGTCTCAGTTCTGACCTCCCTCAGGTTCTAGGTCCTCATCCAGCAAAACCGGAAGTTTCTGATGGGAGGGGCCATACCTGTTGGTATGCCTCTGCTGCCTTATGACCACGCCAGTGCCTTCCTCTCTGCAAGACATGCCCTCCAGTGCAGAGCCACTGCTTAAGTCTTTAGAGGCTGGAACCTATCGAAGGCCAACGAGGCATGGGATGGACTGTATTCACCGGTTTCAACAGAACACAAAGTGTGTGTGGGCTACAAAAAAACAAAAGCTTCCATTTTCATAGAAACGTAGGTTTATTTACATAGAGACAGGCTGAATACAAAGGGCTGAAATAAATGAGTAATAACATAAAAGAACATTTTAATAAAAATTAGTATTTTTTCTTGAACATTAACTTACCAGACGTTGAATAACTGCACAAATTAATAAGCATAACACAAATAAACCTGTATTTCTTGTTCTCCAAAACCAAAATATTTCCTGTCGTGCACACCAAACAAGTCAGTCCAAGACTAATGAGGTGGCCGTCTGCTGCTAAAATATTCACTGCTGGTATTAGTGGAGAGAAATGGTGTACCTGCGAAATAATGCGCATAAGGGAAGTGAATGCAACACGATTATAGTCATCAGTCATTAGCAAACGTTGTAGTTTATTAATAATTGTATATAACAGGATATTGTAAAAATTCATGAAATTTTTATTAAAATGTTTTTTACATACCATTATATTGGCTGGACTGCAAAAATACTCGTTGTGGGCCACATGTGGCCTGCAGGCCGTGAGTGTGACATGCTTGCCCCGGAGAGCTTGGGGCTGGATCTTAGGTTGACTTCACTGGAAGTCTCTTGGGAAAACCTGCAGTTCCATCTTGTGCCTCTCCTATTCTCTCACTGCTGCTACTGTCACAACACGCCTGGTCACCAGGAGAGTGTGCGCATTACAGCGGGGAGTTCTCCACACCAATATCCCACATATTAGCTCCATTCTGACACAGTAATGCCAGTTGCCACAGGTGAAGGGCTCAGTACCACACACTGCTCCCTTGCCATTTCACATGCATGCTAATCATATGTAGTAGCTCTCCTGGTTAGCTAAAACTTCTGACTTGGCTTCAAATGAAGGTTCCCACAAACTCTCAGGGGAAAATGTACTCACATTTACAACTTTACTAAAGAATATCTTTAAGCTCTGGTTGTTTGGCTCAGTGGATAGCGTGTCGGCCTGTGGACTCAAAGGTCCTGGGTTCGATTCATGGTTAGGGCACATGCCTGGGTTTCGGGCTCGATCCCCTGAGTGGGGTGTGCAGAAGGCAGCCGATCAATGTCTCTCTCTCATCATCGATGTTTCTCTCTCTCTCTCTCTCTCTCTCTTTCTCTCTCTCTCTCTCTCCCTCTCAAATCAATAGAGAACATATACTTTAAACAAAGAATATCTTGCCGAACTAGTTTGGCTCAGAGGATAGAGCATCGGCCTGTGGACTGAAAGGTCCTGGGTTTGATTCCGGTCAAGGGCATGTACCTTGGTTGTGGGCACATCCCCAGTAATGGGTGTGCAGGAGACGGCTGATCGATGTTTCTCTCTCATCGATGTTTCTAACTTCCTATCCCTCTCCCTTCCTCTCTGTAAAAAATCAATAAAATATATATTTTTAAAAATCAATGGTACATTTACACCATGGATTAGTATGCAGCAATAAAAAAGGACAATCTCTTACCCTTTGAGACAGCATGAAGGGGCCCTGGAAAGCATCATGCTAAGTGAAATAAGCCAGACAGAGAAAGACAAATATCACATGATCTCACTCATATGTGTAATCTAAGTAACAAAATAAACTGATGAATAGAGGATCCAGAGACATGGAAACAGAGAACAGAGTGCAAAACCTCAGAGGGAAGGCTGGGGAGAGGTAGTGGAGGCAATCAAACAAAGACCTTGTATTTCTACATGCATAACCCAAGGACACAGACAACTAGGTTGTAAAAGCCCAGGACAGGGGGTGAGGGCAAGCTGGAGGGGCTTAATGGACGGAAAAAGGGGACAGATGTATGATTCCATTTATATGAAGTTCTAAAACATATAATATTATGGTTTTAGAAACAAAAAGAGCATTGCAGTTTTCATGATTCTAAACTAAATTAAAAATTATAAATAACATCATGTTTATATTAATTTTATAAGCTTCTTGCTATTACTTATATACTTGGTCAAATGCATTAAAATTGTATCCTTAAAAATGAATATCAGTTTCATTTTTAAGTACTTCATCTATTTTGAAATAACCAATAGAACTAAAGAATTGCAAAATTTTATTACATAGTGAAACAGACATAGACCACTCCTGTGTTGTATACATTTTTATTCATGATGAGATAATTGTAACTGTTTAAAAATTATAAAGTCAATGGCAAAGCAATTAAAGTTATGGCTGAAGGGCCTAGACAGTGCAGGGCACATTCCTGGAATGTGGGCTCAGCTCCTTGTACAGGGTGTGTGGGGAGCACCGGATGAATGCTTCTCTCTCATCACTGATGTTTCTATCTCTGTCTTCCTCTCTGATATATATATATTTATTTATTTTAAAAATATATATTTTATTGATTTTTCACAGAGAGGAAAAGAGAGGGATAGAGGGCTAGAAACATCGATGAGAGAGATACACCGACCAGCTGGCTCCTGCACCCCCCCCCCACCTGGGATGTGCCCGCAACCAAGGCACATGCCCTTGACCGGAATCGAACCTGGTACCCTTGAGTCCGCAGACCAACGCTCTATCCACTGAGCCAAACTGGTTTTGGCTGATATATATATTTTTAGAAATTGTAGCTGAAGGTATCCTGGTCCCAATTTGTTATGAGGTTAGATTTGTGACATAATGCTTTTTCATTCAAGGATTCTTTTCTTCATTAAGTTATTGGATGTTTTGCTAACGTTCACCAAATTGCATGTGTTCATGAGTTATTTCTGCATGGGTTTCTGGCAAATGATAAGGCAACATGAGTTACTGCAAACCATGCCATATCTGTGCCAGAGAAAATTGTCTAGTGTAAAATGACATCTATCGAGGTCTTACTTTTGAGCAGATGCTTTTCTATAATTAGAAATATTCATTCATGATTTCTGATGATCATATATCGTAAGTGATTCCCACTAAAGAATTTCCTATTCTGTCACATTCATAGGATATGTATCAGGATAAACTTTTTAGTCATAAATGTCCTAAAATATTTTCTGAAGGCTGATTGCATCCAAGTTGTTCTGTAATTTTTTTACATAAAATCTGGTAAATGACCAAGAAAGATAGTACCAGATTCTTTGCAGTAAGTTATTCATTTCCCCCATCTTCTCTGTTGTATTAAGTTATTGTTTACTGCATACAGGCTTACCCCAAAGCAACTACCTGTGAAATCTCTTACGTTTAACAATTGACAAGTGGTCAGAAGCTTTTCCACAATTGATGCACTCTTAGGGTCTCCCTCCTGTATGTTTTCTTTGACAAACATAGTCCTGAGTTTGTAGTGAAGGCTTTCCCACATTCAATGTATTCATAGGGTTTCTCTTCCATGTGAATTATCTGATGAGTAATAAGATCACTTTTGCTGAATGCAAATTTTCCACATTCAGTACATGCAAAGGAAGTCCTTCCTGAGTGAAATCTCTGATGTTGCATGAGACATGTCTTCTTCCTAAAGCCTTAACCACTTTTTTTTTTTACATTTGTGTGGCTTCTCTACATTATGAGTTTGCTGAAGAATACCCACAGTATTCTCTTTCCACATTCATTGCATATATACAGTTTCTCTCCATATAAATTCACAGACATGTAATGAGCATATTTTTCCCAATTAAGCCTTTGAAATATTTCTTGTACATACAAACTTTATCTCCCATCTGAGTGTGCTGATGTACACTGACATGAGTTTTCAGGGTAAAGCTTTTACCCAGTTTGTTGTACACACACAGTTTCTCTTAAAGTATTACTTTGTTAATGTAAAGTAAGATCAGTTTTCATGGTGAAGTCTTTTCCACTATGTTCCTGGGGGTTGTCTCCTGTGTGTTTTAGGTGATGTCTGATGAGATTACGTTTTGCTGTGAAATCTTTTCCACATTCACTACATACATAAGGTTTCTGTCCTGTATGAGTCCATTGATGTACAAGCAGTTGCCTTTTCTGTGGGAAGCCTTTCCCACATTCACTGCATACATAGGGTTTCTCTCCTGTGTGTATTCGCTGATGTACAATCAATCGACTCTTTACAATGAAGCCCTTTCCACATTCACTACACATATATGGTTTTTCTGAAGTATGACTTTGATGATGTATAGTGAGGTCACGCTTCATGGTGAAACATTTTCCACACACACTACATACATAGGGCTTCTCTCCAGTATGAGTTCGCAAATGTCCGATAAGGCAGTGCTTCGTTGAGAAGCCTTTCCCACACTCACTACATAAAAAGGGTTTCTCTCCTGTATGAGTTCGCTGATGTACAGTCAGCTGCATTTTTACCGAGAAGCCTTTTCCACATTCGCTGCACACATAGGGTTTCTCTCCTGTGTGCGTTCTCTGATGTATAACGAGACCACGCTTCACAATAAAGCCTTTTCCACATTCATTGCACATATATGGTTTATCTGGAATATGATTTCGCTGATGTACAGTGAGATCACGCTTCATGGTGAAGCCTTTACCACACACACTACATACATAGGGCTTCTGTCCAGTATGAGTTCGCTGATGTCCTATAAGGTACTGCTTCAATGAGAATCCTTTCCCACATTCACTGCATGTAAAAGGTTTCTCTCCTGTGTGAGTTCGGTGATGCTCAATAAGATGACTCTTCTTGACAAAGCCCTTTTCACACTCACTGCATGTATAAGGTTTCTCTCCTGTATGAATTCTCTCATGTACAGTGAGACTAAACTTTGTAGAGAAGGTCTTCTCACATAGATTGCATCCATGGGGTTTCTCTCCAGTATGAATTCGATGATGCACAATAAGACGTCTCTTCTCAACAAAGCCTTTTCCACATACACTGCATTTATAAGGTTTTTCTCCTGTATGGTTTTTTTTATGTTTATTCAGATTAGATTTTATACGGAAGGTCTTCCCACATAGATGGCATTCATGGGGTTTCTCTCCTGTATGAGTTCGATGATGGGCAATAAGATGATTTCTCTCAACAAAGGCTTTTCCACATTCACTGCATCTGTAAGGTTTTTCTCCTGTATGCGTTTTTTGATGTTTGTTTAGATTAGACTTTGTACAGAAGGTCTTCTCACATAGACTGCACCCATAGGGTTTCTCCCCTGTATGAGTTCTCTGATGACACATGAGCCAAAACTTTTTGATGAACGCCTTCCCACATTCATTACACGTATAAGTTTTCTCTCCCATATGAATTTTTTGATGTCTATTGAACTGTGATTTCTTGAGGAAGGTTTTGTCACATTCAGTGCATTCATATTGTTTGAGTCCTGTATGTATTCTCTGATGTTCAGTGAGCCTGGATTTTCTGCTAAAGGCTTTCCCACACAGACTACACCCATAAGGTTTCTCTCTCGTGTGAATTCTGTGGTGATCAGTGAGCTGAGACATCTTCGCAAAGGCCTTTCCACATTCAATGCATATGTGTGCTTTCTCTACGTTGATCTGGGACTTACTATTGATCACTTTGGTACTGACAGGCAACATGATTTCAGTGTAAAATTGTTCATGGTTATCATGCACAATGGATGCCTTCTCTCCATTCAACTCAACGGAATTCTTTAAGTTACAGCTTTTATACTGGTTTTCAAAACTTAAATTTGATCCTATAAGTTTTTCACTTATTTCAGACATTCCTTGATTTTGCTTTAATAAGTAATGACCTCTGCTCTTATTAACAATATCTGCAAACATATTACATTCACAGCATTGTTCCACATTCTTCTGAATGCTTTGACACCATAGGTGATGTGGCAGAGGATCATGGACCTTCCTGAATTCTAGGACAGAACAGAAGTGAATCATTCTGTTATCTCTCATAATCCTAGTTTGAGATAAAACTGTTTTAAAAAGCCTTCATGTGAAGTAAAATATGACATTGTATGTAGTGACAATCTCATGTGATGTAAAATAAGAAATATACTTGTCCTCACTCATTGATTTCGAGAGAGTGTGAATGGAAGAGGGAGGGACACAGAGAGCGAGACCGAGATAAATATCAATGTGACAGAGACACATCAATTGGTGGGTTACACACTGTAACTGGGGCAGGGAATTAAATCTGCAACCCAGATATAAGTCCCTTGGGAATCCACTGTGATCCTGCAGTGCAAGGACCAATGCCGTAACAACTTTGCACTACCAGCCAGAGCTGATTTAGCACTTTCCATGAGACTCCTGGATTCTTTCCTGTGCACATTTTTTATAATATTAATATGCACTGTTTTACTGTCACAAATTGTAACCATGAGTATAACAGTACACTCCCCTCCCTGATAATTTTTACCTTCTGTACTATAGGCAAGCTTATCCATTTAAAAAAATCAGTGACCTGGAGAGAAACCAAGATGGCAGCATAGATAAACACCTTAAATTGCTGCCTCCCACAACTGCTTCAAAACTACAACTAAAAGACAAAACAGACATCATCCAGAACCACAGGAAGGCTGGTCGAGTGGAAATTCTACGACTAGAAGGGAAGAGAAAAGCACACTGAGACTCAAAGGAGCTGTGGAAGGCAGAGGTGCAGAGGTACAGAGGTGCGTGCACTGAGAGGGCTGGCAACTGAGTACATGGCTGCCTTTTTCAATCGAGAGGGAGACAAGCTCCTGACTGCTCTGAACTCCAGTTCCGGGCGAGACTACGGGGAACCAGACTCATGGGGAGAAACTGGACTGTCTGACATCAGGCAAAACTAGAGGGCAGCTTTCTCTCAGAGGTGCTTGCAGTGATTACCGAGGGACACTGAGACCCCGGGGGCCTATTGGGGCAGTGCTGAGGATCAGTCGTAGCTGTTTGCTCTGCCCTGTTGATACCCTGAGACCCTGCCCCATCCAAGCTGTGTGCAGAGGCTTTGCGTATGAATGGCCTGGCCATTTGCAATCTAAAATTAATTAACGAACTGCAGCTGGGTCACAGAGACCCAGAACATCCAAAAGAAGGCCCAAGGCCCCACAGCAGCTTGCACTGCTTCACAGCTGGGCCTCATCTGGGCACCTCCAAACCTCAAACAATGAAGAGGAATCTGTAGATCTCTCCATACCTTTTGCTGGGTGGTCTCAGGCAGAGGCTAAATTAGCACCTCCTTAGAGCACCAAGGGACAGTGTATCCAGGGATCAGAGTGAGACCATCCAGATTACAACTCGTCAGATCCATAAGGGACACACTGAGGGGGCAGACTCAGGGAATGCCAAAGCCCCACTGAAGCAGGTCTTGCCCCATAAGGGTGTCTCCAGCACAGAAGTTTTCCCATCATAGACACACCTGATCCTCACAGCCAAGTGACCTAGAGGTCAATTCCTCCCAGTGATACCAACAACAATCAAGGCTTAACTACAACAAGACTGTGCACACATCCCACAAAGAGGTGCACCAAGAGTGTCCACCTCAGGTAACTGGGGAGGCTGAGCCACTGGGCCCTATAGGACATCCAGCACACAAAGCCACTCTATCAACACAGGAAAGAAGCAGCCAAAATGCAGAGACAAAGAAACAGATCACAAATGATAGAAATGGAGGAAAGCAAACGACTGGATATAGAGTTCAAAAACCATGGTTATAAGGTTTTTCAAGAATTTTCTAGAAAAGGCCGATAAATTTAGTGAGACCCTCGAGGATATGAAAAAGTACCAACTAGAAATTAAGCATACACTGACTAAAATAAAGAATAATATACAGAGATCCAACAGCACACTAGAGGATCACAAGAATCAAATAAAAAATTTGAAATACGAAACAAAAAACACCCAACATCTCGGCACCTCCAGTTGCCACCTCACTGTCATCACCTCGTCATTTTCCCTCTTGTTCGTTACTGGCTGTGCAGACAAGTGTTCTAGAAGCTCCTCACACAATTCCAGATACAACTCCTTGAACGTCCCATCGTCTCATCTTTGAAACGCTCCGGGAGCTGATTCACATCCTCATCAATGTGCTCACAGGCTCCTATCAAAGAGCCATTCCACTGCTAACAGCCCAGGAATAAGAAAAAAGCGATGGATTCCAAGTTCTCTCTTTCCAGAGAGGTCTGGAAAGTGGGATTGCATAGCAAGAGAGGTGCTAACACAGGCAGACACGGTGACTGAGACAAAAAGGAGGAAGATCTGAGAATCCCAGGAGGAAGAAAACTATGCAAACAAAAACACGAGGTGGATAAAATAAGTTTTTTTTTTTTTTTTTTTTTTTTTTTTTTTTTTATCAGACAACAAAAAAGGGGTATATTTCCCCCAAAACTTCTACAAAGAAAAAGGATTCTCATTTGTGGAAGGGTGGTTTGAGTTTCCTCATTCACAGTCACGACTCTGGTGCTGCCTCTGACTACAATGTGACTTCCCGGCCGCCCACCTTGCTGGCTCTCACCCCCTCACCTGGAGAGACTAGACAGCGGCGTCCACACTGTACTGTCCATGGTTCTTCCCCTCGTTCCAGCTTAGAGAGCGCGTGGGGTTTGCTGGCTTGATACCCTGCTTGGAAACAACGACAGAGACTTAGACATATTATATTGGGCTGGCATCTGTCAAGTGGGAGAATGTAACATCTCAAGGAATGAACAGGTTTCCCATCTAGTAACACAAAGACTTTTCTCTCAGGAGGGGAGACATTATACCCTCCTGTCTGGCCCAAAAGAAGGACCTGAGATCCCATCATCTCAGAGAACTGGAGTTATTGTGAAGTTAAACGGCTGAGAAAGGAAAAAGGCACCCGCTGAGTGACACAGGGGAGCTGTCCTCACCCACGGACACCAGGTGGCTGTAGGTCTCCAGCATCACGTCCCTGTACAGGTCCTTCTGCTTGGGGCCCAGGAGCTGCCACTCCTCCCGGGCAAAGTCCACGGCCACATCGTGAAATGTCAAGGGTCCCTCTGACAACTCCATGTTGTGCAATGGCGTGTTGTCCTTTAGATGATATGGAAGAAATGTTAGTTTTTCTGCTCATGTTCACTCTATAAGCTGCATCTATGTAGCAACTGGGGTTTTATTTTATATGTAGTTGAATAATGACATGTCTTGCAAAACTCAGGTTGGGGCAAAAGTAGGTTTACCGTTGCTCATGTGAAAAATAATACAATAATTGCCCTGGCCAGTAGTTTGATAACTTAATTGTCCATGCAAGGAGAGGCCACAGGTTCAATTCCTGGCCAAGGCACACGACCAGTTGCAGGCCTGATCACCAGTAGGTGCATGCAGGAGGCAACTGATAGATGGTTCTCCCTCATGGGTGTTTCTCTCTCTCTCCCTCCCTATTTCTCCCTCTCTTTCTGGTCAATGAAAACATAGTTTAAAAATATGATGCAATAATTAATAAATAATATAAGAATAAATTGTGGTTTGTATACTCAAAAACTTTGCCCCCTCTTGTATTTTTTAATTATGCATTCAGACATTCATGCATCCATCCAACTAGAAGTTTCTATAATACTAGAAGCCCGGCGCACAACATTCATGCACGGGGGTAGGGGGGTGTCTCTCAGTCCAGCTTGCACCCTCTCCAATCTGGGACCCCTCGAGGGATGTCCAACTGCCCGTTTAGGTGGGATCGGGCCTAAAGGGGCAGTTGGACATCCCTCTCACAATCCAGGACTGCTGGCTCCCAACTGCTCACCTGCCTGCCTTCCTGATTTTCCCTAACCACTTCTGCCTGCCACCCTGATCACCCTAACCACTCCCATGCCAGCCTGATTGATGTCTAACTGCTCCCCTGCCAGCCTGTTTGCCCCCAACTTCCCTCCTCTGCCGGCCTGGTCACCACTAACTGCTTTCCCCTGCAGGGTTGATCGCCTCCAACTGCCCTCCCTTGCAGCCTGGTCCCTCTCAACTGCCCTCCCTTGCAAGCCTGGTCCCTCCCAACAGCACTCCCTGCTGGCCATCCTGTGTTCACATGGGGGCAGGATCTTTGTCAAGTGTTGGAGTGATGGTTAATCTGCATATACATATTGCTCTTTTATTAGATAGGATAGAGGCCTGGTGCACAGGCGGGGGCCAGCTGGTTTGCCAGGAAGGGGTTCCCTTGGGGCGTGAGGTCGCCTGGTCCAAGGGACTGTGGTGGTTTGCAGGCCAGCCACGCCCCCTGCCGACTCAAGTGGAGGCCCTGGTATTTGGAATTTATTTACCTTCTACAATTAAAACTTTGTAGCCTGGAGCAGAGCTAAGCCTCCTGCACGATCCATGGCTGCTGCCAATTCTGTTTGGACTTGTTTACCTTCTATAATGGAAACCGCCAGGGTGTGTGGAAAGCTTGGCTTCCTCTGTTGCTAAGGAAACCCAAACCTCTACCCTGGTAGCCATCTCGGTTGGGGTTAATTTGCATACTCACTCTGATTGGCTGGTGGGCATGGTTGGTGGGTGTGGTTTGTGGGTATAGTGGAGTAATGGTTAATTTGCATATTACTGTTTTATTAGGTAGGATGTAAAAAAATGTTCTTAACCTAGAAACCCCACTTCGTATTTGAGGGGGGAAAAAAGATATACATATAGTATTATATATGCATAGTTTTCACATTTACAATTTTTTTTCAAGGTTTTTATAGGCCTCTAGACATCCATTAATGAAGACAAGAAAGGATGAAACAAACGCAACCCCCTGCTCTCTGAGCTGCGAGGACAAGGCCCTGCCTTGGCGTGTTGGGTCTGCTCTGTATTTCTGTACAGAAACCGCCTACAGTCACGGCGTCACAGAAATGCTGATCCCCCGCTTCACGAGGATCTATTGCTCCTGGGGACGGAGGAGAGAGCCCCACGGGTGGGCATTTCCTCTGGGCCCAGCCCCTTCTCTGCTCTGAGCACTCCCCTCACCCAAGGCCACGGGATCGCGTGTCCATTCACATGGTGTCCGGAAGAATGTTCTCTGGCCAAGAGAGCCTCAGGCTCCACCTGTGAGGAGGCACCCTTATCCTGTGGGGGGTAAGTGGGGTGAGTGTCACAGGAGACCTGGGGAGTGACATCCATCCCGCCCAGGAGCAGGTGAGCGTCAGGAAAATCAGACACAGCAGAGCCTGGGGAAGGAGAGGGTCTGGGCACCGTTTCCCTTGAAAGCTGTGTGCTCAGGTGCCTCTTCAAACGTTTCTGCTCACGTTTCAGGCGGAAAACCAGTGCACTGAGCAAGCCCTCAGCTGTCGCATAAGCAAAAATGGTATCTTAGGGGTCTAGAATACATATTAAAGTACCCAAGATGGTACATGAACTGGAAGGTAGTAAATGAATTTGAAGTTCTTCTTTTCTTTAATATATTTTATTGATTTTTTACAGGGAGGAAGGGAGAGGAATAGAGAGTTAGAAACATCGATGAGAGAGAAGCATTGCTCAGCTGCCTCCTGCTAGGGCTTGAAGTTCTTTAAGATCCCTGTATTGTCAGAGAAGAGTATAAAGTACTATTTAAGACAAGAATTTAACAAAGTTCCAGGTTGTATGCAGTTTCTAGTGTCAGAATAAAAACTAATAATTTTGCCCTGGTCAGTTTGGCTCAGGGGATAGAGCGTTGGCCTGCGGACTGCAAGGTCCCAGGTTTGATTCCGGTCAGGGGCATGTATCTTGGTTTCGAACACATCCCCAGGATGGGATGTGCAGGAGGCAGCTGATCAATGCTTCTCTCTCACCGATGTTTCTAACTCTCTATCCCTCTCTCTTCCGCTCTGTAAAAAAAATCAATAATATATATTGTGTATATATAAATATATATATATATTTTCTCTGTGTGTGTGTGTATATATATTAAACTAAAAGTTTTCTTAAAGTATATAATTTATGTGTTAATGGATGGAGAAAATATGATTTTAAAATAACACCTGACCCCTGGCCAGTGTGGCTCAATTATTTGAGCATTATCCCATGTAAGGTTGCCAGTTTGAATCCTGGTCAGGGCACATACACAGGTTGCAGGTTTGCTTCCTGATCATGTGTGTATGGGGGGAAACCGACTGATGTTTTTCTCTCTCCCTTTCTCTCTCTCTACAATCAATAAAAACATATTTTTAAAATTGTCCGAAACATTGAAAAAACAGATAGTGAGAAAGTGACAGAAATAAAATATGGAAAAGATAAGAATGATACACAGGGGACTGTTTCAAAACTAGCTCAGTTGGTTAGAGCAGTGGTCGGCAAACTCATTAGTCAACAGAGCCAAATATCAACAGTACAATGATTGAAATTTCTTTGGAGAGCCAAATTTTTTAAACTTAAACAATATAGGTAGGTTTATGGTTATTTACTTAATTAGGGGACTCCTAAGCTGGCCTTTGCTAAAAACTCAAGGGGCCAAAGAGCCGCACGTGGCTCGCAAGCCATGATTTGCTGACCACAGGGTTAGAGCATCATCCAAATATGCCAAGACTGTATAGGTTTGATTCTGGGTCAGAGCACATACAAGCATTAACCAATGAATGTATATATAAGTGGAACCAATGACTGCATAAATAAGTGTTTCCCTCTCTCTTTCAAATTAATTTTTAAAAATTAAAAATATATATTTGTTTTTAAAATAAATAAAACAAAACATGCTAAAATTATATTAAGTATATGCCAAACAAAAATTCCCATTAATTACATTAAATACAAATACCTCAAAACTGTCATACTCAACCTAACAGGTATGGCTCAGTGGTAGAGTGTCGGCCTGCAAACTCAAGGATCCCAGGTTAGATTCCAGTCAAGCGCATGTACTTTGGTTGCAGGCACATCCACAATGGGAGGTGAGCAGGAGGCAGCTGATTGGTGTTTCTTTCTAACTCTCTATCCTTCTCCCTTCCTCTCTGTAAAAAAAAATCAATAAAATATGTTTTTAAAAACCTGTCATACTCAATTAAAATCTACAACGGAATAACTTGCCATTATAGGTGACACATCTGAAACATAATGATAGGGAAAGCTTGAATGAAAAGGTTAGAAAAAGATAGTCACGTAAAGAGTCACCACAAATAATCTGGTGTAACTAAGTCTGCAGTCCCTATGCACCTACTGTGGTTCCCCGAAAATAAGACATCCTCCGAATATAAGACCTAGCGCATGGGAAGATAAGACATCCCCTGAAAATAAGACCTAGCGCATCTTTGGGAGCAAAAATTAATATAAGACACTGTCTTATTTTCGGGGAAGCAGGGTAGTAGTAAAGCCTTGTCATGTATAGAGTAAAAATGGACCCAAAAAACCCAGAAGTAATAAACTCAAACTAATAGTACAAGACTTCAACATCCCTCCCACAGTAACTGCCAGACACACAGGCCATCAACAAACAAAATATAGCACGTGTAACCTGTTATTTGGAAGAACATAAAAAATATTTCATAGGTAGCAAGAAATGTTGAGGTAAATTTTAATAGATGACTGTGAAGATGACTCAGAAAACCGAACAGTTTAAAGATAGAGACCATGTCTCCCAAATGTATATAAAGACCCAATGAAATCCCAATCAAAATCCCTGACAGACAGCTATCCACACCTTTGAAAACAGGTGCAAAAAGGTGCTCCCTCAG